CATCACTCATCAATTTACAAGCAATTCTTAGCGTTCTTACCGCAGTTCATCTCCTTCTTACCCCTTGTCGACACTGTGAGTGAGAACAGGAACTTCTTGGCGCATAACAAGGTTTTATTACAGTACTTCATCATGGCTGAAAATTCGCCGCGTGCTGCAATTCCTAAAGGACCGCAATCAAAAATCGAAGAGCAACCTACCGCACCCTCATTACCGGCAAGAATCGATGATCAACAGCTACAACCGCAGCAACCTGTAGCTAGAATAGAACTGGAGCCGTCGGAAAGAGAAATGCAAAAGGGATCAGACTCGACAAACGATCAGCGCTTGGTTCCAGAAGAGGTAATTGGATTGCTGGTTTTTTTTTTTAAGATAAATGTTTAAGTAAGTGTTTCTGAACTCGTAAGGAAGCTACTTCTATAACTGTGCTTGAAAACAAAAACCAGTCGCTAAGTGAGTACTTCTGGGAGATCTCAACTGTGTTCAGTACGGCCATCTCCAGGAGAAGGGAGCTTAGAATGGGAAAAATGAAAGTGCATTATTATCCTTTAATTCGCGACATCAATACTTCAGTGCGGTGGTTTTGAAGGATAGCAAGCGTTCGGAAAGTATAGTTTCGCATAAAAAAAGTCAAACCACATTTTCTTCTCCCTGCCTGTTAGTTTAATACGCCGCGGAAGTTGTGCGATGCGGAACAATCACACATGCAAGTTTACCTAAAAGGCTGATGTTTGATGGTATAAGTGATACGGCTTCATCCGCCTCACCAATCATTCAGTGTCTTGCAGCCCATACTCTGAGATTGTGAAGGGTGCTGAAACAGAATTTACAGTACTCGGCATTCAAACGCGTTATGTGTACGATTCTCCTTTTGACTGGAGTACTTTTAGCATTTATGAAGAGAGTAAGAAAAGCATACTAAGCATGCTTCAATGATAATAAAGCGAGCAGATGCTTGCGGTTCATACTGCAAAGAAGTTAGCCTTTTTTTGGCTGAACACATCTTACCTTTTATGTAATAGCAATAGCCGGCACAAGGCTTCGCTCGGTCTTTTAGAATCTGTAAATGACTAGAAACCACGTAATGGGGCTTTATCGCTATCATCAATCTCCACACGTTCTCTTGCTGTATCGTACTCTGTCCACCTAATACTTGAATCTTGCATCGTGAGTGCATGTAAAGTCATCCTCACATTTCGTGGCAGTCGCCACAATCAATAAATACGAAAAATGGGCATTTTCAGCGACGCGATTCGGGTGTTATACACTTCAAGAAGCCTAGCACCAGCTTAATGTACTCGCTCGGCCCTAGATTGAATATGCAAAGTTATCTCGTAATCATGTGCTTACTTTAGAACACATTTTTAGCTGAGAAGTCTGGCTAACGGCGCGGTTGCATAGCGGAGTTAGGAAAAATGCGAGAGGGGTAGACTGTTGAAATTGCGAGCGTATTGCGAGATGTATATTTCCCCCTTCCTCCCCCGTCCCCCATAAGTTCGATACTCCAGAACGATAACATAAGTGATGGTTTTTTTTTGTATAAGTAGCTGATATGAAGCAACAAGCCTTCGTTTCAAATAGCAGTCATTGGAAAAATTATTTTCTTCGATGACCAATGGAAAATGAAGCGAAAATGTCATGACTTTACTTCAAACATTCTTCATTTTTGTCTCCCTTCCTCTTTGCGCATAAATTTCCAACAAACTGAGGAAGTAGAGTCGCTTTTTTTATAAAAAAAAAGTGAACTATGAACAAAATTGATATGATCCAAAATGGTCAGAAGCGATCATTCAATCCTAGAAGTATCATCTGAATTTTGATCCTTTGCGCGTTGATTTTGGATAACCAGGAGCGGAAAACGGGGGAAAGTGAACAAAGAAATGACTGGATGATGGGAGTAGACGTGGGTACATAGTAGTGATCTCACCATTCCGAAAAAATCCTTCAAAGTTTTCTGCGCAGTCGTCTACCTTTTACAGCACAATTTTGCGAGCGGAACGATCTCAAGGTAGAGATAGTCCGCACAATTCATGAAAAAGTCATAAAAAGAAATACGCGTTTTTTGTTCTGTCCTCTAAAATGGTTAGCTGTTGAATTGGAAGTTGCCCGCTTTATTGTGGATAAGAATTTCGGCGGAATGAGTGCGAAAACGGGCTTAAAAACTCTGACCAATTGGAAAAGGAAAAACGCAGTTTCTCTTATGTCATTCAATAATCCAATAATTGGATGTTGCGCAGTTGTCTGTTCACATATACGTTTCAAGACCTTCACAATGATAAACGATTTGCCTACATTTTGTAAGCAACGAAGAAAAGTGCACCAGCAGATGCCCTGTAAAAGATGCTTGATTGCGTAGAGAATGCAATTGAGAGTTGGCAGAGAACGACTAAAGCCGACGAAGAATTTGACTCGATATCTCGATTCAACGAAACCCCAACATCCATGTATCATTTTGCTCAGATTTGTATGAAGAGTCCACGCTGACAACTGCGCAACTAGTATAATTTTGATCGTAACAAGTTATACTCAATTTCTTCTTGCTCGTTGCTTAAAGTCTTTTGACGTATATGCTTTAGTTGATTCTGAATCATAGTAACTACTGTTGTTACTAACATAACAATGCAAGCCTTTCAATGTGCTTAGACACATCGACTGCTTTGGAAGGAATAGTTATGGGACAAATTCACTGCACTTTTTCTTCATACTTTGTGGCTTTTTTTAAAATTTCTATCTTTCGGAAAACTGCACCTCTTCATATCTCATAGAGGAAAAACTTCGTCAATCTTCTTATCGTTCATGGTTTTTCTAGACTGTTAACCTTATTTCTTACCAATAAAACAAAAGCTATTTCTTCCCTTTGTTACATTTTCTATTCAAACTTCTAGTGTACAGAAAAGTCAGCGTCTTGGGTGAGCCTGCACCATGAGATACTGCTACTCAGCACTCTTTAGTAAGGTCACTCTTTCCTCGTTCATTAGTGAAGATGGTCAGAGCCATGGTTCTATGTATCTAAGCTATGCTTCCCCCTCAATGTCAAATACGTGGGCCTGCAGTACTTGGGACTCCAGCTAAATTCAGAGACAGTAGATAATAACTTTTTGAATGGGCTTTCAATCCTGCATTCGCGACATTCTTAGTCTTCAACTTGGAACTAAAACATTGATGCGTGAAAATTTTCTGCTTTTGCTCACATATTGTTCTACTACGATTGCCTACTGAACACCATTGTGAGCAGTGAGCAATGCCTCACATCAACTTGTTTCCACTCAAAAATATATGTTTCTGTCATCTTCTCCAAATGATCTGATGACGAATGATAAGTGAGTGATACTGCCTTTTGTTTTTGAAAAGAATAGATACGCCGCAGAAAACCAAGAAAAACGCCAGCAGACTACGAATTAAGGTGTAGAGCAGCCTGCTTTCCCAACAACTCGTATCGGGAACAGACATACATACATACATACATACATACATACATACATACATACATACATACATACATACATACATAC